AGCAGGAAAAACGTGAGGGCTCTTCCAGCCCCCTGGGGTCATGGGGGGGGCACTGGGGCTGGAGGGGGTGGCTCAGTTACCCCAGGGCCCCATCCCAGGGTGGCAGTGCCTTTGTTTTTTTCCTTCTCTGGGGAAAAAAAATTCCCCCTTCTCTGGGGAATCAACATTGATGTTTGTTTATACATGTTAAGCTCTGGAGCTGCAGTGGGTTAGATCACTCCTCACTCTGGAACAGTTTTCTGACACTGTTTCCTACCAGACTGATTTCTACTTGGAGACATCCTTGTTTGCTTTCTAACCTTTTGGTTTGTTGTGGTTTGGTTGAAGTGGAACTGGAGGGGCAACAGTTGTGGACTGAATCCAATCTGCATGAATGTTCCCTGATAAATATACCCAGTTATCTGCCTTAATTCCACTTCCACATTTGTCAGGCTTTTTGCAACCTGACTTCAAGGTTCAGTTGGGACATTTTCCTTCTCAAAGTGACATTTAATTGTGAAAATGTTTTATTTGTTTTACTTCTTTGGGGAAAAGAAAGGGAATGAAGGAAGAGCTGGTTAGATCTGGCTTTGCTGCTGGGCTGTCACAGGGATTTGGCTGCTTTGGTAACATTTGTCCAGCTCAGGGGGTTGCTCTTTGCATTGGTTGGAAGGTGAAATTCCTGCATCTTCTGGCCAAGGACCATGGTTTCCTTGGCTAATCTGCAAAGCTTGGGTGGTTTTTTCCTTTTAGGTCCCTGGGATTTAATCATTAACACTTGTTGATTTTTCCTCTTGCAGTTCTTGATGCTGAAGCAGAAGCTGGGGAGTCCAGACCTGTAGGAGATCATCCCTGAGCACCAGGGACTCTTGGTGTGGAGCTGCAGCCCCACAGGTGTGACCTCAGGACACCAGCAGCTCCAGCTCTGGGGTTGATGTTTTCCACTTTGGATGAATGTGACAAGAAGTCTTTTATTTCTTTTAAATGTGCCTCTTTGGTCAAAGCAGGGATTAAACATCCCTGTGGAGGCAGGGAGGGGGTTGGGTATCCCAGAGGGAGTCCCAGGGAGTTCTCCTGGACTCTGTTGGCTGAGCTGGATGATCCCAGGGGATTGTGGCTGGGATAACTGTCACATTTGGAAGGTTCTTACTGACCAGCTCATCACTTGTGGTGGAGCTCACCTGCCTGGAGGCAGAGGGTGCTCTGAGCCTGCAGGAACAAACTGTTCCCTGCTGGAGAAAGGGTGGTGACCCGTGGTGGTGTCTGAGCTGGGCATCTGGGATGACTCTACACGTCCCATCTGCTGTATCTGGGATCTCCAGGAGCTCCCAGGCTTTGGGAACACCTTGTTGAAGTACTAAGTTAGGAGGAGAGCTACCCAGTGTGGTGGGTGGGGAGTGATGGCACATCCTGACCTGCAGGAGGTGAGGCTTGGTTCCTGGCTTGGACATCTCTGGTTGTGGTGACACCTCTTTGTGTGACAGTCACCTGGGCTGGTGCTTGAGAGAGCCAGGAAGAAATTGCAGAGCTTGGTGCTTGTTCTGTGCCTTCAGGAGCATTTGAGGTCCCTCAGAAAGGGACTTGCCACAGGGTGCTGTGGTTCCCCCTGTGACCCTCAGCCTTCTGTGCATTCCGGCTGCCTGACCAGTCCCTGCCCACGTGGCAGGGGTGTCCTTCTGTTGGGAATGATGGCAACATGTTTGTGAATAAAAAGCTTTCCTGACACTCATCTCTGAGCCTCTGTCCCTGCCTGGCCTGCCCTCCTCTCCTGACACAGCCAAGTGAGTCCATGGTCCATGGACCCAGGGTGGTGTCTCTGCTGGGGTGTGGAGGCTTCTCTGGGAGTTGCAGGACAGAAACCCACTGCCCTTCTTGTGCAGGGGCTGAGCAGTGGGCAAGGGGTGGCAGCTTTGGGATGGTGCTGCTCCAGGTGGGATGTGAGCTGCTGCCTCACAGCCCGTGGCTCCTCCTGCACCTCCAGGCTGGTCAACCTGGGCCTGGTGGCCGCAGTGGCTGGTGAGGGAGCTCGTGGTGTTTGAGGAACTGTGTGGTTGCTGCTGCTCTTTGTGGCCTCCAGACAGGCCCACAACTTCCTCTGGCTGGGCCTGCATCCATGGAGACAGTGGGAAGGGACAAGGAGGGCTTGGCAGGAGGCTGGTCAGAGCTCTCCTGCTCCCAGGCTGGTCTGTTTGCCTCCCTGGTTGGCAGGGCTTCCTTGACTCCCAGGGAATGAGCTCCCGGGGCTTCTCCCTGGCCCCTCCAGCCAAGAACGTGGTGGTTTATCTCAATGGTGACCCCTTCTCCCCTGGGAAGAAGTTTGTAGTGACCCAGCGGCGGTTCCAGACCCTGGAGGCCTTTCTGAACGAGGTGACCAAGAGCCTCAGGGCCCCCTTGGCTGTGAGGAACCTCTACACACCCAGGCATGGGCACCGTGTGGCTGAGCTGGGGGCTCTGCAGGAGGGGGGTCACTACGTGGCTGCAGGTTTGGAGAAGTTCAAAAAGCTCAAGTGAGTAGATGGAGCTCGGGGCTCTGGGCTGGGTGAGCAGCTTCAGGTCACCCCTGTGGGGAATGTCCTGGGGTGTGACTTGACTCTCAGAAGCAAAGATGCTGGGGGAGGGAAATGTTCTCCAGCAGGTGTTGTGACCTCTGCCTCCCCTGCTCCTTTTCTGTGGAATGTGGGAGGTTCTGCAGTCACACCATCTCCCCTGACAAATGCTTCTGTTTGATGGAGGTTTTCTGTCTTTTAATCCTCAAATTAGAGCTGATTTGGTTCATCCTGAAAATACAGGAGGTTAAAGAGGGGGTTTTTTTGTGGCATCACTTGACTCTTGGGGATCTGAAATGGTCTGTATTGGGCTGGGAACTTCTTAAAGGTCTTAGACTCAAGTTCTGGGAGACCGTGAGGTGGAGCACCTGGAGAACTGATTCAGAAGTGACCCAAAAAAAGTGACCCACAGTCCTGGTGGTGATGCTCCAAGGCAGAGCAGTCAGTCCTACTCCTCACTGCTCCTCAGTCAGGTCCCCTTGGTGGGTGACAAGGTCATGGTCTTGTTCCTGCAGCTATTTAAGTCGTGGAAGGAACCAGCTCCACGGGACAAGGAACAGGGAGAGTCTGCAGGTAAGTCCTGGAGGTGTGGGGTGAGCTGGGAGGTTTGGGGTGAGCTGGGAGGTGTGGGGTGAGCTG